GCTACCTCCCGAGAATTGAACCAAAACCGGTAGCCGGTTGGAACCAGCCAGTTATTTTCCCCATTCCTGGAAGTCTGGAACTTGGAACTTTCAGTTCCAGGACTGTAACTGGACCGGTCCTTGTCCAAGCCTATGCAGGATTAGTCAGGGATTATTGATAAAAATATTAGGAGTTGGCTAGGCAAGGGTCGTTGTACAATACTACAATAGAGTGCTGTGAAATATCAATATCATCTTTTGGTTGTAGCTGTGGTCATGTGCTAAAAAGTGCCAACCTGCCTGGCTCTATCCTAGGGGCAAACTAGGCCTAGCTTTCAGACAGAGTCTTGCTGGGTTAGTTAGAACATAGGCAGGATTAGTCAGGGACTCAGGGTCAAATTGATAGAATTAAAGTTAGTTGTGCTTGTTCTTCGATTACTCATTATACCATTTTATAAGTCTTATATTCCTTTTTAAACTTCAGTGACATTCTTCTTTTCCAGGTATATCCTTTAATTGTTTGACATAATGACCTATTCAACACAAATTTTTATAAAAGTAATACAGCTTTTAGAGGGTAAATTTGGAAAATGACCAAATACCTTATTTTTGTTTAAAAACCCATGCAAAACAATTAAGACCTTTAGTTTGGGATAAAGAGAGTAAGTTGTACAGCTAGTATCCGTTTAGGACGATAAGTGTCTACGATTTGTTTCTGGAAAGAGTCACAACCTCTTCTGTCATTTTTTTTGCGAGTGTTTTTTGGCTGTAGCAAGGTTCATTTTTTATACTGTTGTGATTCGAATGAATTTCCGAATGCAGAATGGAAAGCCTTCTGCTAATGCTTCTCTTTCTGGAGGGGAAACTGAAGCATTGCAGAGACTTAAGAAATTTTGTGCTGAATGTGAAGCTCAACCACCCCCACACGAAGGGAACCACCATGATAGCATATATGGTGCAAACTTCTCCTGCAAAATATCTCCTTGGCTTGCAATGGGATGCCTCTCCCCCCGCTCCATGTTTGATGAATTAAAGAAGTTCACATCAAGGTATGTCGCCAACTTGATGAACAATTTGTTTTGTTTCCCATAAAGCATCAGACTTTGTGTTTATAATGAACCATTACTTACTATTTGACCAGCAGAAAACTTTCTGTTGCGTCTAACATGAAAGATGGTGGTAATGGCGGCACCGGCGTAAACTGGTTGATGTATGAGCTGATGTGGAGAGATTTCTTCAGGTAACAGTATTACATCATTCACTTTGAGCTGCTTTGAACTTGGACATAGATGTGTACTACAACAACAACAACAACAATAACATCCAAGCCTTAATCCCAAAAGAATTTGGGGTCGGCTAACATGAATCGATCTATGATATCGATGCCAAAAAGAGAAGGCGGACAAGAAAAGGAAAAAAAAGTAAGATAAAATGAATAAAATAAAGATACATAAATATAAGATAATAATAACACAAGAATATAACCAAGATAAAAGAAAAATAAATAAAAGAACATAAAAAAGCTAGAAGATAAAAATAACATAAGAATATAAAAAGATAAGGAAGATAAACGATAAAAGAAACAAGAGAGGAAAGGTAGACAAGACATCAATCGTCCACATGGATGTGCGCCCTCCACTTTGCTCTCTCCAAAGTCATACTCTCATCCAACCCAAGAAGACGCATATCAGTTCTGATTACTCTAATCCAAGTCTGTTTGGACATAGATGTGTACTGTATCCACTTTTCCTCCATTATGGATAGATTATTGAATCTACAAACTAATGCTGATGTGTTTGAAATAACTTGTTGTTTATCGTCAAAATATTCTATCAGAAATCATTTATTCCATGTATAATATATTGCTTACCCCACATGCACAAAAAACATACGGCCCTATGTTATTCCTGCCTGTTGTCATTTTTTGTTTTGAGATTTTAAAAGGTATATGATATACGTTGTATAGGGAACTAAAAAATCATTGTATGTATAGTAATCATGTTAATTTTGAATGCTGTAAAAAATTGATAACAACTGTTTCTGATTTTCAGATTTTTGTTTCTAGTTTTTAAATAAAAAATGATACCGATGAACAAAGCCATAGTTCAGGAAACCTCTTCCTCCATTTAAAAAGGAAGTCATTTTCAGACATTTTTCCCACCTACACAATACTATCATCCAATCAAAGACACACTGAAATGCTGCTATTTTATCCCTCAATACGAAGGACAGAAAGTATTAGCAAAGGGTCAGTTTGGTTGTTTTGGAAGGCCAAGTCTATCTCATAATCTATATATTGATGTTTTTATTAACAGGTGGACCATATAAGAAATAATGAGAAATAACTAAAAAAAGGACAAAATGTGACTTCTAGTACGCATTGACCATACTGGTATTTTTACAGCTACTACAGTGACATTAGTTGTATTTTGGGAATGATTGTAGTAACTGTGTAGTCGGTCCAAAAGTTCTATTTGAATACATATCATAGTAGAAGTTCAGCCATATGACATTTGAAACATGTATTCATTATATAGAAACATTTTACGGAGTACTCCCTTCTTCCCATAAAATAGTTCCCGCTTTCCTTTTTGAGCAATCCCAAAAAATAGTTCTCATTTTCGTTTTTGGAAAGTTTTATGTGGTTACCATTCATTTACCTTTTTCTTACTCAACCACAATCATACGTTTCTCCTTTATTTCCACTTTCTTAAACTCCGATCCAAATCGGAGTGGGAACTATTTTATGGGACGGATGTAGTATTTATCAGGATATAGACACTATGCCTTCCAAAGTCCCCATGCCCACCGCCCGAATTGGAAAGTAAAAACCATCACCCTAATTTTGTAGGGTGATTGATTCCTTGTGATCTCTGATCAGTAATGGGCCAAAGAGGCCTAATTCCTCGCACACAGTTTCCATCATATTTGCCTTTTGTAATTTCACTTATCGATGCAATGAGATGTTTGGTTTCCATATTTATCAGGTTCATTACCAAGAAATACAGCTCTGCCAGACAAAACAGTACTGCTCCAGTCACCGTATGTACAGGAGCTGCAGTATCTTGAAGTAGATATATTACGATTTGATAAGTGTGGTTTGAAATTAATGGAATCTTTAGCCTAAGATGAACGTTGCTGCGTTCGCAAGAAAATAATAACTCTTGATTATAATTGCTCTTCGGTAGCTTCTTTTGTTTTCTCCAATTTGTGGTTTCTTTGGCTATAGTGGTGTATTTTGTAAACTTTATGAACAGTCATTGAGGAGCTTCTCCCATCTCCCTGCTATAGCTGGATAATTGCAGAATTTGAGGGTATATGAAATGAAGTTATTTTAGTTTTACGCAATGAGCGCTTGTGTAGCTGACCTAACAAAAAGAACCACCGAACATAATTTAAGATTTGGTAGTATTGCTTAGTTTGTTCTGTTTGGTAGTATGATTCTTTAAAAATACCAAACGCCCCTCTTTATTATAGAAATAGCGTAACAAATGCACTAAGGCTTAGTTTGGTAGCCGTATTTGCCTTATTTTGCTTATTCACACAGTAAGTAAAAAGTCACATTAAAGAGCTACTCCTTTCATAAAATGTAGCAGATTGAGCTGTTTCAACCGAAATGTAGCAGATTGAACTGGATTCTCGAGAAGTTATAAACAGAGTATATCATATTGAATCTCAAGTTGTGTTTTTCCTTGAAATTTCGTGAAATGTATATTTAGGCTACTTTGTTGTCTAACAAGTGTGACTTCAATTAATTGGAAAATGAGAAATGTAACAATTAACTACTTTTATACTTTAATGAGAAATATAGCAATGAATTAATACGAAAATGATAAATGTAACAATGAACTACTTTTTATACTTTAATGAGAAATGTAGCAAATTAGCAATTAACAACTTTTGTACTTTAATGACAAATAACAATGAGAAATGTACCAATTAACTAATTAACTAATATTAATAAAAAATGTATGAATGTGTAAACTAAATTAATGGGAGCGTGAGTGTATAAGTAATAGGATGAATTTAATTACTATTTATTAAAGTGTAACTAATATATAATATATTGTTTATAGTATATAATATATAAGTATACTACTATAAGATGGGTAGTACATTTATATTTAATTAATACTTTAATACACACACACACTTAATATATGTATTTATAAGTAGATAATAATTATATTAGTAGATATAATAATTGTTTAACTAATATATGATATAATGTTTATAGTATATAATATATAAGTATATTACTATAAGATGAGTAATACACTTATATTTAATACTTTAATATATATAAGTATATATTAAGTAGAAGTAATATGTAAATATAAGTAAATAACAATAATATAATAAGTAAATATGAAGTTTATATTAAGTAGATAATAAATTTTAGTAATATAATATATGTATTTATAAGTAGATAATTAATATATAAGTAGATATAATAATTGTATAAATATATGTAGAGAGAATTGGAGAAGATGAAGATGGAGATGATTAAGAGTATTAGAGAATAGAAAGTAGGAAGAGTTAGAGAAGAGGTGTAGAAAAATGTATAGAAAATAGAAGTATTTTAGATTTTTTTTGTACCCCCACCCCCAAGACCCCCCCCCCCCCTCCAAGCCTCCAACGGCTATACAGTCGTTTGGGACTTTTCCCAACGGCTAGGAGGATCAATTAATTATTATTTTTTCAAATATAGCCGTTTGAGGCCCGGACCGGCGGAGCCGGTTGAGTTTTTGGAGACCCGAAGCCTGCCCCGAAATAATACGGTCCGGGTGTACAGGACCAGACCCGGACCCCGGGTATCAGGCCGGGCCAAAACAATACCGGGTCAAGCTGGTTACGGGCCGGTTGACCCGGCACGAGTCCATCCCTATATGTTATTGTGTCTATTTATTGTGGCCCAAGTCCTGTCTTGAATTGATTTAGTCTGATCCGGTATGAACAAAGCCTTATCTTTATCTTGCATTTTAGATTTTTAGTGCTTGGGCAATTGGAGAATTCAAAGAGGAAATAATATAAGAGTAATAATACGAAGTATAAAGGAAAAGAGATGGCATTAAGGCGTACAGCTGCTGTTCAAACAATAATATGCTTGTTGTATATCAAGGCACATACCCCAAATGTGGTAAATGAATGAACCAAAAATAAAATGATCATAACATTAATGATAGGAAATAATCGGTAGCTCAAAAATATGTGTTCAATGGACGAGGTAAGGCTCAAAGATCTGCTCTTTTGATCGAATAAACAGGCAGCAGTAGGAATAAGATGTTGGGCATATTTGTTAAGAATGAATTAGCAAGTTATTCTGTAGAACTGGATGAACGAGTATCATCTTTTTGGTCACCAAAGATCCTTTGCCTGAAGTCTTGAACCATCATTGGTAGACCCTTCCTAAGAGGCACTTTGGGTTCCCACCCAAGCATGTCTTTGGCCTTCGAGATGTCAGGCTTCCTCATGTGTGGGTCATCCTCCGTGTTGGGCCTGAACTCTATTTGAGCGTTTGCGTCTATGGTTTCCTGTACTACCTGCACGGAAAGAAAGCTTTAATGAATATATAATTCCAAGTCCGTGAACCAACCAACCGTACAACTAAAAAACTTTTCTTCATTAGGGGTGTTTTGGGCTCCAAAAAATCCTATTATAAGTCAAATGTTCCCAGTTCACTGTAGTTGAATGTAAAAAAAGACCCTTTGTTCTTTGATTTGAGTGTTTTGTTAGTTCTGCTCTTTCCAGTTTTCATAATATTGTTTTTAATATAAAGTTTCATATTATTTTATACAACAACGAAAACATATCCAAATTACCTTAGCAAGTTCAAGCATTGTGAATTCACCAGGGTTTCCAAGGTTAAAAGGTCCAACATGATCTCCTTCCATCAAGCGCATCAGGCCCTCAACCTGTATGTAAGACAACCAATATTATATGCATCCATTAAATACGACTTATTTTTTCATAGGCACACTTCTCAATCCTTGTTTGTCTTTTGCTCCTTTTGGGGTTTAAGCTACTCTTGATGGCAAAGGCTTTTCTATCCCAGAAAATTTCAGGCAAGGGCTGGAGACTTGGAGTGTCATTCTAATTACATGAAATGGAACCATGACCTTTTCTGACTTAATTTCCTCTCTAGAGAGATTCAATACACACATATTTTATCCCACAAAAGGTCAATGGGCCAAAAACTCAAATAAAACGAAACCACAACAAATGTCATCATGGCAGCAATAGGAAACACTTTCAAGTTTCAACATCATTAAACCGAAATAGATACCTTTTTATGCAAAAAACGAGGCAATTGATAATATATACGGAGTATAACATACTGTACAAAGCTTGATAGATAGAAAGTGTTCTATTACATATATAACTTACCAAATCTGAAACAAATTGGAAGCTTCTAGTCTGCTTTCCATCACCATAAACCGTCATTGGTTCCTTCCTTAACGCCTGTATAGTTAATCAATCCATATGTCCAAAGTCAGCTACAAAATGATCTTTAGAAAGTCAATCACTATAGGTAATTGAACTTGAACATAAGAATAACCTGAGCAACAAAATTGCTGACAACACGGCCATCGTCAATGCACATTCGTGGACCATATGTGTTGAATATCCGAGCAATCCTCACCTGGAAAACAAGATAGTTTTGTTTTAATTTGATTCAAGAAGTCAAGAGAGCCTTAGCACCTCATGCAATCATTTCATCAATAACCATCAACAGTACACAGTACATCATACCAATATAGTTCAATAACAATTTAACAGATGTTTGAATTTTCAATCATAAGCAAGCTAATCTGACCTCAACACCAGCACCTCTGTGGTAGTCCATGGTCAGTGTTTCTGCTGTACGCTTTCCTTCATCATAACAGCTCCTGACCCCTGTAATGAATCAATAGTGAATTCGTAAATCGTAATGAACGAACAGCATGTTCCATCACAAATTCATAAGATATGATCAACAACTCACCAATAGGATTGACATTTCCCCAGTAAGTTTCCTTCTGAGGGTGCTCCAAAGGATCACCATAAACCTCGCTGGTACTTGTTAGCAAAAACCGTGCGCCCACTCTCTTGGCCAATCCCAGCATGTTCAAAGTCCCTACCACATTTGTCTTGTGAAGCTCCCCAAAACCAAAAACAGAATTAAGGATTTCAATTACTAACCAATCAAAGAGCGAAGCAGGAAACTAGAAAAATGATTGCAAAAGGAATAAAAAAAGGATATGATAGTCTTGACGGGATTGTGCTTGTAGTGAACCGGTGACGCGGGGCAAGCAAGGTGGTAGATCTGGTCAACCTCCAACAGGAGCGGCTCGACGACGTCGTGTCGGATGAGCTCGAACCTCGGGTTACCAAAATGGTGCATCACGTTCTCCTTACGGCCGGTGAAAAAGTTGTCTACCACGATAACGCTGTCGCCTCTCGCGATGAGACGGTCCACCAGATGGCTGCCGACGAAACCTGCCCCGCCGGTCACGACGATCCTCAAACCCTTCCGTTGAAGGCCCAGCGGGACCTTCCCGCCAGAATGCACCGCCCCGAAGCCAATGCCCTTCTGATACATGAACCGGTGCGGCTGAACCGATCGGGATGGGAGTTGGGAGGCCGAGATCGCTTCATAGCCCAGGCTGTACGGAGGATTTGAGGACGGACGCAGGGCGAAGATGAAGGTAGAGATGGCCATGCCGGCTAGAAGGCAAACCAGGCGCTGCTCACGGAACATGTAACTGATCGGCCTATTGAAACCCAACCACGGTTTCGCCGGCTTAGGGGTGTAGTCGTCGGCCACCGGCAGTGACTCCTGACCTCGAAAGAACAACTCGGATCCCATAACTTCCCTGTGTTCTCACTGAGTGTGAATGTGTGTGTGGATGCAGATGAAATGCGTTTATATAGAATGGTGGAAGTGGGAATGAGATGGTGAAGATGGCGGATGGAGAGAAATTATCGCGGCGGAAATTCTCCGTCCGACTCACTCCCTCGCGGGTGGGAAGGCGTTTCAATCTAAGACAGTTTGGTGAAGTGTCATCATATGGTAATAACAAACAATAAATACGGGTCGGTATTTTGAGATATTCTTCTAAACAGAATTTGACTCCGCAACCCGTACTAACTTTCGTCCTAAATTGATTTTCAAATTTGACTTTTCTTAATCAAACTTGTTTCGTTTTGTTCGCTTAATTAGGATGCCAATTTTTAATTATATTTTAATTTAGAGTTTACAACATTAAAGAAATTTCAATATAGTTTATGAATATGTAAATTTTAATTATTAAAAATTGAATTAATTAACAACAGGATCGACTTTTATTATAGATTGACTTTGCAAAACAGTTTGGAATTGAGGGAGTACTAATACTCGGTATCAAATTATTATGTTTCCCTAAAAGCATTTCTTAACTTTAACAATACTTTTTGCAAAAAAAAAAAAAACTTCTAGCAATACCAAGCCAAACACCTTTTATTTCGATGTTAGTTCCGTGACATTCCCTAATAGGAGGACACAAGTTTGAAATATTAAAGATCTTACATTTAACAAAATCGACCTTCATAAAATGTATTTTTACTTGGAGTATCTATAACTGTTACTGTACAAGTGTGCGCTTTGACTTTAACTAGGGTGATAAACGAATCAAATAATTTGTGCTCGATTCACAAATCGAATTCGTATAAGATCACAATTCGAATTCGGAAAATTCAAATACAAATAAGAATATTAAATTTGATTCGGGTTGTTATCAAATAAAAATATGAATATCAGTGTATTCGATTCGAATATTAATCAAATAATTCGATTAATAATAGTAATAATAATATTAATAATAATAATAGTAATAACACTATAATAACTTTTAAAAGATAGCAATTCTCTCAAAGTGTAGCTCATATATATATATATATATATATATATATATATATATATATATATATATATATATATATATATATATATGTGTGTGTGTGTGTGTGTGTGTGTGTGTGTGTGTGTGTCTATATATATATGTGTGTGCATACAGATTCCAAACCCATTTGTAGTAAATCAGAATATAAATACTGATAGAGTATATATCTAGAGAGAAGTGAGAGCTAGAGAGAGAAGTAGTATATTTGCTTTGTATTAGTGAATTCTGAACCCTTACAACTACTCCCAAGGGGAATATTTATAGAGAAAATTAGGGCTGGGCTCCCAAGTCTTGGGCTTGGGAGGCCCATTTACAATAGGGTCACTAATGGGCCGGATACAAAGTGTATAGAAATGATAAGTATAAAATCCCGTTCTAGAGGCTATCTATGGATGACGAGGGCATGGCCGATGAGGGCATGGCCGATGAGGGCATGGCCGACGAGGTCACCCGGTTCTCCTGACTTCTGGATCATATTCTGGGTGGCCTTCTTTCTGGCCGATGAGGGCATGGCCGATGAGAGCATGGCCGATGAGGTCACCCGGTTCTCCGGGCTTCTGGATCATATTCTGGGTGGCCTTCTTGCTGGCCGATGAGGGCATGGCCGATGAGGGCATGGCCGATGAGGGCATGGCCGACGAGGTCACCCGGTTCTCCTGACTTCTGGATCATATTCTGGGTGGCCTTCTTTCTGGCCGATGAGAGCATGGCCGATGATCGTGGTACCTTCTGTTCTTCTGAGTATGTGGGTCCTGGGGCCTAGACCCATATACTCCATCAGGAGTCCCCCACTCTCTAAGCTGAGACGTTGACGAAGTGAAGGAGAGTATATTTATGTCCTTTTTTGTTTGGGCGTTGTGTGCTCCTCGATGTGGACGAAGAGGGCCTTAGTCATGTGGATGATGCGTGTTTTCTGTTTAAGGACGACGAGAGCCTTTGCCTGGTGGAGACGATGAGCGTCCTCTGTCATGAGTGGCCGATGAAGACAGTGCTTCCTTATTCCTGGTCGTTGATGGTTTGAACTTCCCTTTTGGGCTGATGAAGCCATTGTGGTTATCTCTTGTTTGAGGACGATGAGTGTCCTTTGTTTCGAGGAAGATGAATGTCCTTCAACTTGAGGACGATGAGCGTCCTTCATTTTGAGGATGATGAATGTCCTTCGTCTTGAGGACGATGAGTGTCCTTCATCTTGAGGACGATGGATGTCCTTTATTTTGAGGATGATGAATGTCCTTCATTTTGAGGACGATGAGGGTCCTGGACCAGAGGACGTTGTGCGCCCTTGGATCTGTGGACGAAGAATGTCATGCCCTTGTGCTTTTGACTTTAATTGATGGACCTTACGCTTGCGGACGTTCGTGGCGCGTTCGTTTTGTTCGTGATATGGACGATGAATGTCATAGTCCCGGAGGTGATGCGTGCCATTGGCCTTGAGGACAGGAGTGTCCTTGGCTTTGAGGACGACACGTGCCCTTGATCTTTAGGACGATGTGTGTCCTGCTTTGCGCTTCAGCATGGCCGAAGGGTGAACACATGGTTGTTGGACGTTGAGGTACCATTGTCATGGGCTTGTGTTCGTTGGATTTTGAATTTGTTTATCTTTGCGCTGGAGGCCGATGTAGTCCCTCAGACCTTCTTCTGGCCGATGGAGACATGGCCGACGGAGGTACCACTTGGTAGTCCTTGCTTTTTGTTGCTTTCTGGATGATTTCATGTATGTGGAGGCCGATGTAGTCCCCCAGTCCCCCACTCCTTGAGGCTCATGTAGTGAGGTGAAGAGGAGTAGAACAATACACGTCTTGAATAGGGGGGCGAGGGTCGACACCTTTTGATCCACAATGGGGCGGTGCCTCGTTAAAAACCTCATTAGGAAAAACCCTGTGGGAAAAAATCCTAATGAGGGAAAAAGAGCACATCGGGTCCCCCAAAATGAACTCCAAGGGGTGAACCCTTCGGCCTAGGTGTGGAGCTGAAGCGGTGTCCGTCTGATGAGGGGACGCCCGCCTGGTGGTGAGGACGACGGCGCTGATGAGCCGGTCCGAATATGAGGACGAGGCGATGGATGTCTGTCTGAATGTGAGGACGACAATGGTAATGATCCGTGCATCATATGAAGGCGACGGTCGCTATCCAGGAAGGGAATTGCGAGCCGGGTCGCTATAACAGTACCTCGGCGTTGGGAGCCGGTCTCGAGATATTAGGACGACGGCACTGGGGGGGCGGTCCGAAATCCATGCAACGGTCGCCATCCGGTAAAGGAATGGCTAAGACCGGTCTTAAGATAGAGCATCACACCATGGCCGAGGGGCTGGTCGTGATGTGAAGACGACGGCGATGAGGAGCCGTTCCTTCAATCCATGCAACGGTTGCCATCCGATAAAGGAATGGCTAAGACCGGTCTTGACATAGATGATCACGCCAAGGCCGAGGGACCAGGCATGACTTGAGGATGACGGCTATGATGAAGCCGATCCAAGTAAATGATGACGAGGCGTTGGTGAAGCCGTGCGTCATGTAGTGGCGATGGTCACCATCCAGGAAGGGATGGTGAGCCCGATCGCTAGCTCAAGACTCTCGGCGCTGAGGAAGCCGGTCTTGAGATAGATGATCACGCCTTGGCCGAGGGGTCGGGCATGATTTGAGGACGACGGCGCTGATGAAGTCGGTCCAAATAAATGATGACGAAGGCGTTGGTGAAGCCGTGTGTCATGTAGTGGCGATGGTCACCATCCAGGAAGGGATGGTGAGCCCGATCGCTGGCTCAAGACTCTCGGCGCTGAGGAAGCCGGTCTTGAGATAGATGATCATGCCAAGGCCGAGGGACCAGGCGTGACTTGAGGATGACGGCTATGATGAAGCCGATCCAAGTAAATGATGACGAGGCGTTGGTGAAGCCGTGCATCATGTAGTGGTGATGGTCACCATCCAGGAAGGGATGGTGAGCCCGATCGCTGGCTCAAGACTCTCGGCGCTGAGGGAGCTGGTCTTGAGATAGATGATCACGCCTTGGCTGAGGGGTCGGGCATGATTTGAGGACGACGGTGCTGATGAAGCCGCTCCTCGTATGAAGGCGAGGGTCACCATCCAGGAAGGGAATGGCGAGCCCGCTCGCTAGCTCAAGACGCCCGGCGCTGAGGAGGCCGGTCTTGAGACGAAGGATCACGTTGAGACCGGGGGGTCTGCCGTGATCTGAGGACGACGGTGCTGATGAAGCCGCTCCTCATATGAAGGCGAGGGTCGCCATCCAGGAAGGGAATGGCGAGCCCGCTTGCTAGCTCAAGACGCTCGGCGCTGAGGAGGCCGGTCTTGAGATGAAGGATCACGTTGAGATCGGGGGGTCTGCCGTGATCTGAGGAGGACGGCGCTGATGAAGCCGCTCCTCATATGAAGGCGAGGGTCGCCATCCAGGAAGGGAATGGCGAGCCCGCTCGCTAGCTCAAGAAGCTCGGCGCTAAGGAGGCCGGTCTTGAGATGAAGGATCACGTTGAGACCGGGGGGTCTGCCGTGATCTGAGGACGACGGCGCTGATGAGGCCGCTCCTCCTATGAAGGCTAGGGTCGCCATCCAGGAAGGGAATGGCGAGCCCGCTCGCTAGCTTAAGACGCCCGACGCTGAGGAGGCCGGTCTTGAGACGAAGGATCACGTTGAGACCGGGGGGTCTGCCGTGATCTGAGGACGACAGCGCTGATGAAGCCGCTCCTCATATGAAGGCGAGGGTCGCCATCCAGGAAGGGAATGGCGAGCCCGCTCGCTAGCTCAAGACGCTCGGCGCTGAGGAGGCCGGTCTTGAGATGAAGGATCATGTTGAGACCGGAGGTCTGCCGTGATCTGAGGAGGACGGTGCTGATGAAGCCGCTCCTCATATGAAGGCGAGGGTCGCCATCCAGGAAGGGAATGGCGAGCCCGCTCGCTAGCTTAAGACGCTCGGCGCTGAGGAGGCCGGTCTTGAGATGAAGGATCACGTTGAGACCGGGGGGTCTGCCGTGATCTGAGGAGGACGGCGCTGATGAAGCCGCTCCTCATATGAAGGCGAGGGTCGCCATCCAGGAAGGGAATGGCGAGCCCGCTCGCTAGCTCAAGACGCTCGGCGCTGAGGAGGCCGGTCTTGAGATGATGGATCACGTTGAGACCGGGGGTTCTGTTGTGATCTGAGGAC